ACCCTAGATGACCAAGGAAGCACCAGGACCCTAGATGACCAAGGAAGCACCAGGACCCTAGATGACCAAGGAAGCACCAGGACCCTAGATGACCAAGGAAGCACCAGGACCCTAGATGACCAAGGAAGCACCAGGACCCTAGAATGACCAAGGAAGCACCAGGACCCTAGATGACCAAGGAAGCACCAGGACCCTAGATGACCAAGAAGCACCAGGACCCTAGATGACCAAGGAAGCACCAGGACCCTAGATGACCAAGGAAGCACCAGGACCCTAGATGACCAAGGAAGCACCAGGACCCTAGATGACCAAGGAAGCACCAGGACCCTAGATGACCAGGAAGCACCAGGACCCTAGATGACCAAGGAAGCACCGGGACCCTAATGACCAAGGAAGCACCAGGACCCTAGATGACCAAGGAAGCACCAGGACCCTAGATGACCAAAGGGAAGCACCAGGACCCTAGATGACCAAGGAAGCACCAGGACCCTAGATGACCAAGGAAGCACCAGGACCCTAGATGACCAAGGAAGCACCAGGACCCTAGATGACCAAGGAAGCACCAGGACCCTAGATGACCAAGGAAGCACCAGGCAAGCTTCATCCCGAGCCAGGATGCAGGAGTGGTATAAACTCTAGGAATCAATCAAATGCTGCTGACTGGGGAGCGATCAAGTACAATCTTATCAAGAGACACAACAATCTCCATCACAATTTACTCAGATTACAACGTCACTGATGTTTAAACAAGCATAAATAAAACGTAAAGCATTGTTTACTAAACTTATCTCCAACAATCAGGACCTTGAAGAGTCAGACACACATGCAATAGTTGGGTACCTCTGTTGTTGACTAAAGAAGTCTACGCAGTATGCTCCTTTAGTCAGCTACAGAGAAGAATTAATTGGAGGCAGCAGACGTAGTAGTAAGGTGAAGATGATGTAACCAGTCCATCACCCTTGGAGAAATAGTTTTTGATGTACCTGGAATATACCTGGAGAGGGTTTCGGGAATCAACGCCCCCACGACCTGGTCTGTGACCAGGCTTATTGGTGGATCACGGTCTGATCAACCATGCTGACCACAAGCACACTAACGTACGAATCACAGCCCGTCTGATCAGGTACTGTGGTCAGTCCCTTATCCTGGAGAAGCGAGACCTTTCATATTGGTTACCGTCCTCAGGAGCAGCTTAGATAAGGTTAGCTGGGAGGAGAATAATTCTCGAAACCAGCCACAGGTACGTCACAGAAAAATAATTACAGATACAAAAATACATAAAAGATCTTCACCAGAAAATAGTAATGTGCGGCCTGAGGCTCCCTAACCCTAAGTGAGGGATCCAACCGACCAAAGTAGAGGATTAGGGGAAGTCTTGTAGGATGTTAGTTAGTATGTTATTTATAATAAGTTCTTGGCTATCTCGGGCTCTCTCCAGGTTTTCTTTACTTCATGAATTCCCTGCTCCTCCCACCCTAGTTCCGTAACCCCCTACGGGGTTGCTTAACCCCCTCCCTGGTGCCGTAACCCCCTCCTGGGTTACTTAATCCCCTCTCTGGTGCCGTAACCTAGTGTACATCCTTAGTGATGTGTTACCACAAACTCATTTAGATTCCGGCGGCCATAAACTGGCAAATTATTGGATTCAAAAGCTCGTAGGAATATTTTACGCCAGTCCTCCTTTCACGCATACTGACGAAGGGCACTGACGTACCTGTGATCGGTTTCAAGGGTTCTTCTACTCTCCCAGCCTAGCCTGAAGTCCGGCTTCCGTGTTGGTTGCCTGGTTAACCAGGCTGTTGCAGTTAGAGGCCCGCTGGAGGCCCGAGTGGCACAGCTAGAGCAAATATTGACACAGGTTCAAACCCAACATTTGTCTTCACATTATAGCAATTACACTTTAATGTGGTGGTGAGGGAGGAAGGAGGTGCAGATCGAGGCCGTGGCTCACAGCGTAGTTTATTCTCCTGTGTTAGTCGCTAATTTGCACTGTGATGCACCACAAATGTCGGTGTTTTGGGCAGTGAAAATATAAAATACGAATTTACATATTGCTCATGTATATAAATCTCCTGATGCAAGTTGCCAGCAGTTTAAAGATCACTTATTATAGTGGAACACTGCCTCGAAAGAATTAAGACACATGTGCCATAGTTTTGTAGACTACGGTACTCGTCACCAACACTAAGGCTGAGGGACTGATTACCTCGTCTTTTGTATTTTAGTTATACAGTGTTCCTATAATGTCCTTGAATTTGTATTGATAAAGTCACTGAATGGCGAAACGTCTACAAATAAAGATACCCAGGTATTGTACATATCTCATTCTTCATCTAGTCGGTCATGTACAAACTACCTTGAAAACGTTTCGAACGCGGCCCCACATAATCCTTTCGCTTATGTCAATTTAAGACACCTGAAATGAAAAAAAGAATATATAGCGAATGCTGTAAGAGCAAAGGTCTCAGGAGGCAGTCTGGATGAACAGTCACATGCAGATGAGCAGTTAGGACTCTCTTAGTAGAATCAGACAAATTAGAAAACACTCTGAACTTATATTTACAAATAATGAGAATCTGGTACGGGATATAAAGGTGTCAAACAGTGCAAACTCTGATCAGAATCTAATTGAAGTTGAAGAATTTGTTGGGTCTATTAGCCAGGAGGGTTAGTAACCCAGTATAACCCAGTAAGGTACTGTCATCAGGCTGGCTTACTTTCACTAAGGAATCCTTCAGTTTTCTTCTCCGAAATGCGACCCGCACCAGTCGGCTCATTGCAAGGTGCTTACTTAAGGCTAGGTGAACAGGGATAGTAGGTGTGCCAAAATACATCCAACTTTTGCACTAGTCCGGGGATCGAACGCCGGTTCCTCAGTGTGTGTGAACTGAGAATGCTACCAGTTGAGCCATGAGCACCTGCATGCACACTGGACTTCATCATCCCAATGCAAGTGGAAGTGGATGTAGGAGGAGTTGCAACTAGTATCAGTATTCAAGGTGTCTAGTAAGTAATGTGACACTGGGAGGCGGCGGACTTATGGACACGCCCTAAACTTTATTTATTTACGAATTTATTAATCAACATATTTGTGTGTGTGTGTGTGTGTGTGTGTGTGTGTGTGTGTGTGTGTGTGTGTGTGTGTGTGTGTGTGTACTCACCTAGTTGAGGTTGCAGGGGTCGAGTCCAAGCTCCTGGCCCCGCCTCTTCACTGGTCGCTACTAGGTCACTCTCCCTGAACCGTGAGCTTTATCATACCTCTGCTTAAAGCTATGTATGGATTCTGCCTCCACTACATCGCTTCCTAAACTATTCCACTTCCTGACTACTCTGTGGCTGAAGAAATACTTCCTAACATCCCTGTGATTCATCTGTGTCTTCAACTTCCAACTGTGTCCCCTTGTTGCTGTGTCCCATCTCTGGAACATCCTGTCTTTGTCCACCTTGTCAATTCCTCTCAGTATTTTGTATGTCGTTATCATGTCCCCCTATATCTCCTGTCCTCCAGTGTCGTCAGGTTGATTTCCTTTAACCTCTCCTCGTAGGACATACCTCTTAGCTCTGGGACTAGTCTTGTTGCAAACCTTTGCACTTTCTCTAGTTTCTTTACGTGCTTGGCTAGGTGTGGGTTCCAAACTGGTGCCGCATACTCTAATATGGGCCTAACGTAGACGGTGTACAGGGTCCTGAACGATTCCATATTAATAAAGTTGGCAGAATTACCGACAATATGTAAAGTAAAAGGACACAAGTGCAACTAATGTGACATTTATTGTGGCAACGTTTCGCTCTCCAGGAGCTTTATCAAGCCATTAATGGCTTGATAAAGCTCCTGGAGAGCGAAACGTTGCCACAATAAATGTCACATTAGTAGCACTTGTGTCCTTTTACTTTACAGATTCCACATTAAGATGCCGGAATGCTGTTCTGAGGTTTGCTAGGCGCCCATATGCTGCAGCAGTTATTTGGTTGATGTGCGCTTCAGGAGATGTGCCTGGTGTTATACTCACCCCAAGATGTTTTTCCTTGAGCGAGGTTTGTAGTCTCTGGCCCTCTAGACTGTACTCCGTCTGCGGTCTTCTTTGCCCTTCCCCAATCTTCATGACTTTGCACTTGGTGGGATTGAACTCCAGGAGCCAATTGCTGGACCATGTCTGCAGCCTGTCCAGATCCCTTTGTAGTTCTGCCTGGTCTTCGATCGAATGAATTCTTCTCATCAACTTCACGTCATCTGCAAACAGGGACACCTCGGAGTCTATTCCTTCCGTCATGTCGTTCACAAATACCAGAAACAGCACTGGTCCTAGGACTGACCCCTGTGGGACCCCGCTGGTCACAGGTGCCCACTCTGACACCTCGCCACGTACCATGACTCGCTGCTGTCTTCCTGACAAGTATTCCCTGATCCATTGTAGTGCCTTCCCTGTTATCCCTGCTTGTGTGTGTGTGTGTGTGTGTGTGTGTGTGTGTTGTGTGTGTGTGTTGTGTGTGTGAGTATAGAACTCGTGGCCCAGGATGGCCCTGTTAAGTTCTTTATGCTGGTAAAGCCCTCATGGGTTTGTGGAAGGCTCTTGTTTCAAAGAGATGGGACTACCCTTCCCTTCCTTGGATCAAACCTTCCCATTAAATAATAATGACAAGCTAAACCCGTATGGTTTGATTCATATAAACATAAGCTCGTGGAGGAGCGGAGATTCGATCCTACCTCCACCTGTAAAGCAACGTATATATATCCATGATACATGGTATTAAGACCTCATATGACAAACGTAGATTTAGTGGTAGCGCTAGGTAACTAGCGGGGTTAGTGGCATCTAGTATGCTGTCACTGGTCTAGCCAGGTAACTAGCTAGGTAAGTGCCAGTTACTGGCCTGTCACTAATAGTCACTTCCCTAAATTGTAAAGCATCTTATGGGCGGAGAACGGATTTCTTTGTTTGTTCTAACCTGTGTCGCCACTGCTTGTTTCAGGTGTAACCTTGATGTGTGTTTCTTTGCAGCTGTGCAGCGAGGTCGAATCCCACCTTCACAGGGCATGGGTATGCCCAGCCAGTTCATGGCCAATGGTGACACTCTCAACGGGCACACTTACCTCTCTTCATATATCTCACTGTTGCTGCGTGCCGAGCCCTTCCCCACCTCGCCCTACGGCCAGTGTATGAACGCTAACAACATCATGGGCGTGGACAACATCTGCGAGCTGGCCTCTCGCTTGCTCTTCTCAGCCGTGGGCTGGGCCAAGAACATCCCCTTCTTCCCTGAGCTGCAGGTAACGGATCAGGTAGCGCTGCTGCGGCTGGTCTGGTCGGAGCTCTTCGTTTTAAACGCCTCTCAGTGCTCCATGCCCCTCCATGTAGCGCCGCTGTTGGCTGCCGCAGGCCTCCATGCCTCGCCCATGGCGGCGGACAGAGTAGTCGCCTTCATGGACCATATCCGCATCTTCCAAGAGCAGGTGGAGAAGTTGAAGGCGCTCCACGTGGACTCCGCTGAGTACTCCTGTCTCAAAGCCATCGTCCTCTTCACCTCAGGTAAGTCCTGGCACAGTTCTGTAATAACGAATACAATAACTATACATGTTTATGACGCTGAGCGATCCAAGAAAGGCATTAGGTATTCTTTATTATATATATATATATATATATATATATATATATATATATATATATATATATATATATATATATATATATATATGTACGAAGATTATATATTCATTCATTCATAAGAAACGCTAAGGTATGGAGTAGTGTGTAGCAAAATGCCACAACAACCCAGGTGAGCACCAGGTGTGCTGGAAGGGGAAGGGGTAAGGTGTGAGTCAGCCAGTGTTAGTGAACCTGGGTCAGTAAGACCTCGGGCGCCATGCCAACACAAGACACACGTTAATGACTCAACGCTTCTTTCACTAAGGTGTAGTAGAGTTTGTGTGTGTCTGGGGGCTGGTCCTGGAGATGTTGTGGAGGCGGTGCTACCCCCTCCAGTGTGCATACATACACAACTCGCGAAGCAACCCAGTATATCCTAACAGTGGATGGATACTCTGCCAAGTACACAACCCAAGTATGTCGACAGATGTATAAAATACCAACGTTGATGATCAAGATACATGTGTAACAATTGGGTATCTTTATTGTTGGAACGTTTCGACATCAGCCCATCAACCTTGGCTGACGGACTGATTACATCCTCTTCATTTCACTACTACACCTGCTGCCTCTGTATCTGACTGAAGAAACCTAATGTGTACGCGAAACGTTTCAACAATAAAGATGGTATACTTGTCTTAAGTATACCATCACAGTGTCAATGCCATCACTTACCCCATCGTTCCATACCACTATCCTTCAATGGGGATGATGCCCAGATGCTGCTGTAGAACACGCTTCTCAAGGAACTGGTGTTATCATCCCCTCCCTTTCGGATCGAACCTGATTACTTCCCATTCTTCGATGGATAAATGGTTGGCGTCGGCTTGAAGGCTTGCTGTGTCCCTCGGTAGGTGACCCTCGTTATAAATTCTAGTATCGTCTGTGAAGGATGACAGAGCACCATGATTCACACCTTTGTTTGTGTCAGATAGGAGAATGAGAAAAAAATAAAAGAATGGGGCGAGCACTGTGCCTTGAGGAACACCGCTTTTCACCGAGTCCACTGTATAACTTTAAAGTGTGATATCACCACCACACTCAGTGATAATATCAGTGTATATCATCGCCACACTTAGCATACCACTCATTCAGCATACTCATACACATCTGCTCACTATACCCCAGACACACCTACTCAGCATACCTCTGACACAACCCACTCAGCATATCAGACATCTACGTCCACTCAGCACACACCAGACACATCCATTTAGCATACCTCCGACACATCTACTCAGCATACTCTAACCAAATCAATGGACCGTACCAGTGCTTCATCCAGACTTAGATTCAACAAGCCTGGATTAACCACGAAATATTGGATTACGTCCGACAGGTGAGTACCGTTGCCTTCTCGAGTGCAGCAGCTGCTGTTTGCTGCTGTTAGTACTACTACTGCTACTTTTGCTGCTACCGTTCCTACTATAGTTGCTCGTTTTCTTGCCAGTGATACTGTTGCTGTACCTGCTGCTGCTGCTGCTGCTGCTGCTGATGCTGATGCTGCAGCTGTGGAGAGGAAGAGGTTGATCATTTAATTACTTGGTCAGCACACTTCCTGCCTCCTTGTTTTATTAACCCCTCTCTTTCTCTCATCTTCACTCCCCACTACCTTCGTTCCTTCCTTCATTCTCCCATTTCCCTCATTTCCCTCCCCCTCCATCTCTCTCTGATCACTCTCATCTCTCTGGTTCACCATTAACTGCTTTCGCTCTCATTACTATCACTCTCTCATCACTCACTTTCACTCTCTCTCCCAGTGCTACAGGAGGAAAATGCATCACCCGCAGTCAGCTGTGACTTTCTCCTGACGAGGACCAATCTGCAGGGACCATCTCTCGCCTTGGCTCACATTCTCTTCTCTCTCTCTCTCTCTCCTCTCTCTCTCCCCTCTCTCTCTCCTCTTTCTCTCTCTCTTTCTCTCTTTCTCTCTCTTTCCTCTCTCTTTCTCTCTCTCTCTCTCTCTCTCTCTCTCTCTCTCTCTCTCTCTCTCTCTCTCTCTCTCTCTCTCTCATACATCTCCTTCCCTAGTTTATGCCTGTAGGCTGTGCCAGGTGACCCCGATGGTCTAGTCACAGACCAGGCCTTCCATTTGAATGCCTGACCAATCAGGCTGTCGGTGCTGGCCGCGCGCAATCCAACGTAGACACGGCAGCCCAGTTGATCAGATTCTGACTTAGGGAACTTATCAAGTCCCCTGGAGGAATGGAAGTCAAGGAGGATTTACTCAAGGGAACCCCTCAAGGGAGGTTCCTCGACGCTGGTGAGGGGGCTCTTGATCTAGGGAATTGGATCTGTGCTCCAGTTCCCTGAATTGAGCCTGAATACCTTCCATCTCCCCCCACATGCGCTGTATAATCCTATGGGTTTAGCTCTCCCCCATGATTACAATATAATTATAATAATGGAAAGACAAGTCCGATTCTTTGCATCAAGAGGTTGGGTTGTTAATGGGGTTGGAAGCCTGTCGACTACACGAGGATCATTAAGGGTGCATGTAACCTGCTCACCACCAGTCACGAACGATTTAATTCCTCAACAAAGGGACTAAGTTTATGACGTGTGTTAGTGTGACTTGTAAATGGTCCAAGTGGGACCGAGACGTCGTCATAAGCTCCTCTCTCCTATGTGCGGGTTATTTGTGTATTGTTCCAGTCACGATATTGTGCCTTTTTTGTTCTCTCAGCAAGACATGTGCTGAGAGTGACGCAACTCTTGTGTACAATACCCTGCGCACCACGTGTAATCATACGGATTTATGCGCTTCCTGCTTACTCCAGCACTCCTCGTTGCCAGACGTATAGAAGCACTTTTTGAATATGCATATTTGTCAATTTCAATGTACTTTTTTCATAGGTACACGTAACGTAACCCAACCTAATCCAACTCGACTGAACCTTTCCCAGCCTATCGTAAGTTAATTTAATATAACAAGGAAATGTTGCTTGTATATTTACTGAGAGCGTTAAGAAACTGACGTTGTGAATAGTAACGTAAAAAAAATAACGTAAGGAGAGTGAGGGTTGTTGTGTGAGTGAGGTTAGGGCATGGAGACGCACACTAGACGTGAAGGAATGTGAGTGCTGAAGCTACACACCTTCAGCTGAACCAGAATACCTGGAGGATACCTAGAGGGATATATCCTGGGGTCAACGCCCCTCCTCCGGCTTGGGCCCAGACCAGGCCTATTCATGGATTATGGCCTGATCAGCTAAGCTGTTACTGCTGGCCGTACGCCGTCTAACGTACGATCCAAATCCCGGCTGGTCAGGAACTGATTTGAGGAACTTGTCTGGTTCCCTCTCGAAGACAGACAGAGGTTTATTGGGAATTCCCCTTATGCATGGAGGAAGGGTGTTGATGAGTCGGGGACCTCTGACACTCAGAGTTCTCTCTTGCTATACTCAGTGCGTCCCTTGAGGTATTTTACACCATTTACCAATTCTCTTCTTGTTATGGAGTGATTTCAGTGTTCAGATTTGGGACAAGTCCCTCTAGTTGAGATGCCTGATTACGTGCTTTGAAAACTCCCTACATTTTCAAGTCAGATATCTCGCCTGCCTTGAAGGGGATCGTTAGTATACAGCAGATTCCAGCCTGGAGAGAACAATTGATTTGAAGAGTATAGCCATTGGCTCAGCGTCTCTTGCCAGGAAAATTCTAATTATCCAGCTTATCATTTTCCTTGCGATAACACTGGTAATATTGTTATTGTTCTTGAATGAGAGATCTGACATGATTACTCTTAAGTCTCGCACATGGAACTTTCCTTCTACTGAATGGTTTGAGTTTTACTTGTACTCCGTTATAGTGTTTATTTCCTCCATAGTGAAACGACTGAAACTTGCCCTCGTTAAACATCATATTGTTTTCTTAGGCCACTCAAAGACTTAATTTATATCCGCTTGAAGATTTCTTATGCCTGCGACAGATGCCAGTCTTTTGTGTCATCAGCAAAGGAGGTTACTGGTGCTACGATTTATTTCCTTGTCGATGTCTATTATAAGAATGAGAAACAGAAACGGGGCGAGTGCTGTGCCTTGAGAAACAGTTTTTCACTGTGGTAATCTCCGACTTCACTTTGTTTACTACGACTCTATGGGTTCTGTTTAAGAAGTTATGTATCCATCTACCCACGTTTCCAGTTATTCCTATTGTATACATTTTCGACAGCATGACACCATGGTCGCACCTGTCGAACGCTTTTGCAAAATCAGTGTTCACTATATAAGCATTTATCTTGTCTTCCAGTGCATCCTGGACCAAGCCGCAATGATCCAGGAGTTGTGATAGACAGGAGTAACCTGTGTATATGATGTAGCTTCGGGCTTTCAGTAGCGGGAGGAGGAGAAGAGTAGCAGAAGGATAGCAGGAGGAGAAGTTGGTAGGTAAGACACATAGGCAACAGTTAGGCAACTTTATTCCGAAACGTTTCGCCTACACAGTAGGCTTCTTCAGTCGAATACAGAAAGTAGGCAGGAACAGTAGAGAAGACGATGTAATCAGTCCATCACCCTTAAAGTCGTAGAATTTGAGGTTGTCAGTCCCTCGGCCTGGAGAAGTTCAGTTCCATAGTCAAGAACTATCTGAAGATCAAGCGACAGTGCGGAGACTTTTAAATTTCTGTCGGAAGGAGAGGTGCAGAGTAGTAGTAGTATGAGAATGTAAACCACTGAAAGGTCAGGTCCCTCTCAGATCCAACAATTCTCACTTGAAAAGTTTGTCCAAGGTGTTTTCTGTATCAAGATGGGCCCAAGTGTTGCTGTGTCTGACAAGATGAACATTAAAAATGGTATACAATACCGACAGGTTGGTAGGTAAGACACATAGGCAACAGTTAGGCAACTTTATTCCGAAACGTTTCGCCTACACAGTAGGCTTCT